TAGTTAGTGAATAACATAAAAGAACATTCACATTAAACAGAAAGCTAAATCACTCAGCACAACGATATAAGAAGAAGAATTGCATGAAAATTACCTGTTCAATGACTAATTTATCTATCTACATGTAGAGTGATGTTCTTCATTTTTCTTTGAGATTCTTTCCGCTTCAACTATCTTGTTATTGTCATCCGCGCTAAATTTATGTAATAACTTTGACGAAAAATAGATTCAAGCAAATAGTTTTTTAAACGGATCATTTGTTATTTTCACGTACATAGAAGCAACATAGAATACAACCAAGAAACTTATCGTCGCAAGTGTTTCCATTGGTTGGTAAATTAATGAGTTTTAAAGATAGTACTGGTTATCAACGAGGAGCATGCTTAACCTCTGAAAAATTTACTAAACAATTGCCGCTGTTAGTTTGGCTTCATCCATCGTTGGCTTCTCGAAATGCTATCGTACTTCAATGAGAGCATTTGTAATTGAAAATTTTCCTTTTGTATGAAGTTTGTTTAACAGAGATTACCTGAAGAACAACGCTTAAAACTGAATGATCACAGGGAATTAACGGAGGTAGAACATAAAACGCTTTTGTTAACGAGACATTATTAGTCGCAAACAAATCTGAGCATGTATCTGAAGCAGGCCTTGTTACATCATCAATCATTTGTGTAATACCTAGGCTAGTAAACAGACCAAAAATGTCTTCCCCTTCACGTGTACTAGGCTTAGTAGGGCACCATTTATGACAGTGCGCGTTAAAATCACCCGTCATGAATAGTCCATCATATTCAAATAAATTGACCTTAGAAGAAATCGAGTCATGGATGAAAGTGCAAAAAATCTTGAAAACTCCTCTATTATAGATTCAGGTCTATAAACAACAATGAGTAAAATCTTTATATGATTAGATAACATGATTTTTAAAAATAAAATTTCGAAATCGTCGTCCTCTAAATTCCATAAACGTGTACTAGCAAGATCTTGTCTTATGTAAACTAACAGACCTTCATCTCGTTTGTGCAATCGATCCTTACGAAACAACTGATAATTTGAAATAGAAACTTCAGCATCATCGTTTTGTGACTTAAGCCATGACTCAACAATAGACAATACCAAAGGTGTTTCATTTTTACATAGTTCACTAACGAAATAAACATTTTTCAAATTACTTTTCCCTGCTGTTGCTAAGATATTTCTGATATTAAAAGAATATATACTAATAGAACTCTTTCTACCGTCGACGGCATTATTATTATGTGTGTTAACCATTATCGAGTTTTAGTTTAAATTTTGGTCTGATTCGATACTTCATCCAGATATCTCTTACATACATATAAAGAAGTTGAAATGAAGATAATTTTCCCTCTCTCTTACATATTATAACAAAATAAAACGAAAAGAAAAAAGAAAGAAAGTGGACTATAAGAAATAGATAGAAACACATAGACTATTTGTATATGTACTATATAGCTACACTTATCAATCTGAACCTGTCGAACTAATAGAAGGAAAGGACTCACTGTGTGTACCATGTTACACCTCGATTACATACATTCACGAAGAAAGCAGATTCGATAAGTTAAAAGATAACTGAGAACTAACTAAGCGAGCGATTTACGACCATAAGAGAATCAGGTATATGAAGGAACCCAAAAATTTGCGTATAAAAGGTGTTTTGATTAAAGGGACCATTGTATGTGATATGTGCATCTTTGTTTCTATTATGTTTGATACACCGTCCTAGACTGAATCAACAAAGAGTCAAAATAATAAACAGGCATAATTTGGATATAAACTGCACACCTTTGTAACGACAAGAAAAATATCTGGACGCTAATACAATAAGTAAGAAGAGAGAGCGAAGAAACGCTTCTTTTTATCACGGATTTTTGCGAAGGAAAATAATGTGAAGGAAGATATCGATGATGAAATTATTGCTCAATAAAGAAAATTTTCACAGCCTAAGAAAGTCTTATTAGTCACATTCATCAAATATAAGACAGGAAAAAAATGCGTTTATTCTTATCTAACCGATAAAATACTAATAATTAAGCATATCTATCTATTTAAATATATATTCCAAAATTCTAAAGCCTAGTGGAATTTAGCTAAAAATGGTTCAACTTTGAATGCATACACTAATAATTTTCTGTGTCCTAAAACACGTTTTTAGGGTTTTCCAGCAAGTTTTTTGAAAATCTTATGAAAAATTCGGACAACAAGATAATATCAAGTAAGACGGTAGGTCAATTTTCCATTGTTAGTTTGGCTTTTTTCACGAAAGATAACTAATAGGAGCGTCCGGAGCTGTTCGAAAACATTATCATGTCCACACAAAATAGAGCTACACTTTGTGCCCTTCTGTGAGTTTCTGTTTTCTGTTCAATTCACAAATGTTAAATTTCGCCTCATTCTTAATTGAAATCACTTTTTATAATTAAGAAAAAAAATTATGGAAGTTTGGAAACGGCATGGCACACGTCATCGATTTTCAGTTTGGAAAACGATTTTGTGTGGATCCTATTTTAATAAGATATGGATTCTTAAACTATAGTTAATAAATCAGTTGTTTTCTTAATCCAAGTGACAGGCCTTCATCGCTTATATTTTATCAAAAAAGAGAATTAAAAAGAAATTAACTTTGTCATTCTCATTGTTTTTGTTTGTATTTCACCGTCGTCTTTTGTATTCTCAAACACTTTCATGTAACGATGATTTAATACAGGACCAAATTTTGAGAAACTACGACTGTGTGCAATGTGAAAGCATTTCGTTAAATCTTAAAATTCATAATGTATGGCTTTACGCTTTTCGCCTAAGCAGTTAATAACCTTCATGAGAAAGTAACAGTATTTCCGTTTATAAAATTGGAAAGATAGTGAACAAGATTTATAACGTTTTTTTTTGTTTATATCTTTGTTGATTCTTTTCAAAAGACCTGCGAAAAAGTCATTATAGGTTTTCGAATCTCTTCGTTTCACCTATGTAGCAGTTGACCGCATTCAAAACAGTAAATTGTGCGTCTCATCCAACTGTAAATTATTTATTAAAAAAGTATCTAGTGTAATTTCATTTAAAAAATTCAACTTTTGTTTAAATAGAATCCTTTGAGTATTATACAGCGAACAGTTGAAAAAAATTTATTTATAACGTTGGTTTAAGCTTTATTTGTAAAAAGAAAATAATCTGCATCGAATAACTATAGAACAGCAAAAAGAAAGAAAAATAGACCCATGACATCATTGGTCCATTTTGACTGTTCGACAAGGAAAAAGTGCTAGTATAAACAGTAAGTAAGCGAGACGCACCTAACGCATGTGGTCAGAGAAGAACATTCCCGTTAAACAGAAAGCTAAATCACTCGCGAAGGAACATTTCCAACTGTCCTCTCGTTTTATTGATGGAACCAAGTAAGTCATAGATTATCGGCTATGCTGATTCCGAATGCCTATGTGAGACGGGCTGCTAGGCCTCCCAGCTCTACACGATCTTTCTTTACAAAGTTATAGAACTTCCAAGAAAAGCCCTAAATGTTCATTGTCAGCTCAAAAATATAGAAAGAAAAAGGGAAAAGGAGTTTAGGGCTTTTCTTGAAAGTTCTATAACTTTGCAAAGAAAGGTTGTGTAGAGCTTTGAGATGTCTTATTTTGATCAAGATTTCGCGGCCTACAAACATAATTTATTAAGAAACAGTTTCGAAGATTTTTCGGATTTTCTGAAAAAGCGGTTTTCCAGAAAACCGCTGTAGGACGGTGTAACAGCCCGTCTCATATAGGTATTCAGAATCAGCATAGTCGATAACCTATGACTCACTTGGTTTCATCCAATAAAAGCGGGGACAGTTGGAAACGCTCCCTCGTCAGTACAACGTTATATCGTTTCTAGCTGGATGTGTACTTTTTCAAGAAACCAAAAAATTGCTGGTTTAGGAGAAATGGCCAACGTACATGGTTTAATCCGCCAACTAATATACCCTTACACAACAAGGTACTGTTAATACACTCTGGCGGGTTCATAACAGATGATTGTAGTGCGTCCGTAACATTAAATTCGGCTATTAGTTTTGGATATCGACTGAGTAGCTCACTTATAAATGCTTTGCCTGTTGTGCAAATACCCAACACATCGCATTGATTATAAAGAATTTTAAATGGCGTGAGATAGGGCGGAGACGGTTCTTGTTCACAGGGGTCATCAATATCTCTGTATGGGTCAGGTGCTGAGTAAGCAGCAACGGCTGAAATATTTGGTGTGTTTAGTCCATATTCAACAGCCATCGCTGCACCATTACTCCAACCGCTCATGTATACACGTTTCGGATCAACACTAGCAACTGATTTCGCTGTTTTAATAAAATGATCAATTGTTTGAACGTCAACATTTATTTTTTTTGAGTCCGATCGATCATAATTTCGATACCAGTTGTCCCATCCGAGACCTTTCGCATCTGGAAATGGATAAAAATGTGTAGTACTTCTACCGGACACTATCAATAAATGATACCCAAGCCGACTTTTATCATTGGCCAGATCAGCGGTAGTCGTCGCTTCTAATAGACCAGTAAGTACGATAGCATTTCGAGGAGCCAATGATGGATGAAGCCAAACTAACAGCGGCAATTGTTTAGTAAATTTTTCTGAGATTAAGCATGCTCCTCGTTGATAACTAGTACTATCTTTAAAACTCATTAATTTACCAACCAATGGAAACACTTGCGACGATAAGTTTCGTAAGATATTCGTGAGATTGAGACACAAGTCTGCGACTGAGGCGTATGCGTCAAGTGAAAATGTTGCATTTGCTGGTGGATCACCATATTTTGTACACTGACTTGTACAGATTACTACTGTTAACGTGTTAGCAAACAAGACAATAGCGACTGTTATGGTGAATATTTTTTTAATAAACATGACTATCAAAACTTGGTTGTATTCTATGTTGCTTCTATGTACGTGAAAATAACAAATGATCCGTTTAAAAAACTATTTGCTTCAATCTATTTTTCGTCAAAGTTATTACATAAATTTAGCGCGGATGACAATAACAAGATAGTTGAAGCGGAAAGAATCTCAAAGAAAAATGAAGAACATCACTGTACATGTAGATAGATAAATTAGTCATTGAACAGGTAATTTTCATGCAATTCTTCTTCTTATATCGTTGTGCTGAGTGATTTAGCTTTCTGTTTAATGTGAATGTTCTTTTATGTTATTCACTAACTA